TCTTCTTGCGTTCTAGAAGGCTGATTGCTTTATCAATTGTGTGTTTGTTTTGGGCCTTGGCAACCACGGAAATGGGCGAAAAAAGCAAAGCTCACAAGCACTTCCAAGGCGTGTCTCTGCCCAGTGTTGGCTTGTGGATGAGGACTGCATCTTTGGCGCAGTGCCGGGAAGGAAACGACAAGGCGCGGTTGGCCACACGGCCGTCCCTTCGGTTTTTACACACTGCCAGGGTCTTCGGCCACAGTAAAGGTCTGAAACGAGCAGATTCCGGAGCAGGTTCCGGACGCTGTTGTTTTTTTCTCTCCTCCTTGAGCTTATTAGAATGCAGTTTGTGAGGTCCTAATGTCTCCTATGTAGAATCGACCTGACTGAAGCAAATCAGAGCTAAACAGAACAACAACAGGCCAACTACGGTAGCCCTTTTCGCCACCCACCTGCGGTAGCAAAGCAAGCCTTCTGCGGCTGGTGCCTTCAACCAGCACGGACGCTCATTCTGCATTTTGCTAACAATTTCCGTGCCGGAGGTATCATCTTTGGAGCCCTTGCGATGACGCAGAACTTTGCAGGCATGCCAAAACCGGCATGTGGTACTTGCATCATACACACTGCAAGTTGTAGAGCCTAAATGACCCAAGACAGACTGAGGGCCTGCCAATTCAGTCTATCTGGAAAAAAGGGTTGCCGTATGTTGCCGTAGTCTTTCCTCTTCGGGCTGGTAGCTTCCTTTCAGTTATGAAGGTGCCTTCTTCTCATCGTTGACCTTTCTTGGATTGGGCCTTGCGGGGCTCGAGACGGTGAACTGCGAGGCATGAGCCCATGCTATCATATCATATGATAGGAGATGCTACTGGATTGTTGATGTTGCCGCGTGTTGGCGGACTAGACTATTCAATAGACTCAATTAATAGACTGAGGAACGCAAGCCTATCAACAACTCAGTAGGTCATGAAGTGACTTTGGCGCATTTTCAAGCGACTCTCTTGGGTTGTCACGAGGGCAATGACTTTGTTCAAAGGAGTTTTGCAGTTCCACAACGCATTGTGCCTGAAACCGGCATCGTACCTTCCTTGCACACTCATGTGCCAGGCGCGATGCAAACATCTCGTAGACAAAGTTGTGGACACCACTGGCGTGGTTTCTGCCGCTGGCCTGGAAGAGGCATGCCACGAATGATCTGGTCTCATGAGACCTGCCTTCTTTGAGGCTTGAGGTCTCGCTACCCTTGTGTCAAGAACCTTTGAAATTTAAGGCTTCAAGCGACTCAAGTGGCAAAAAATTCTGGAAGTTCTGTAGCTGGGTCATAGGTGGAGGGCTGAGCTGAGGAATGTGTGGATGAGTGCTTCTTGGGCGTCATTGCGCAGCAGCCAGATTCTCTCCGTTCTTTGGAATGCAGTTCGTCCAAGACCCTACCAGAACCCGGGACAATCTTGAATTCACTTGCCGAGCCATCAGAGCCGCACTGACTTTGCCATTTCAGAGTACTCATGGCTGTAGCTGTCACAGCCTTGAATTTGCCCAGTGCCCCCAAGAATCACATGGTTTGCCAGTGGCTCAGGCCTTTATGTCCGTGCAGTGCCCCTTGGCAGCCAAATCGGTCTTATATATATATATATATATAGATTCCCAGATCATTCATTGTATTTGGTTGTTGTTTGGCAGGATCGGAATGTGGGCTCCCATTTGCGAGCTGCTCATTGCCTTCCATGCCTTTAAATTTCCCATCAAAGGTGCCAGGCCGGACCTGACGGACAACGAAAAGCGACCTGCTTTTGAGCGCTGTTGAGCCCTGGTGAAAGCTTCCGATGTGGAGTCTTTTGCTTGTGTTGCCCAAGTTTGGAGCCTGCAGTGAGTGTGATACTATCCAGGCTTCGTCGCCTCTATGCTGGTATTTGCCAAAGTCGCGGGGAGGCTGGATCAACCCGTGCTTCTGTGGACTCTTGGGGTTTGACATGGCTGTGGCCAAGTTGTGGCATGTTGTGGCGGCTTTCCAGATCCAGGGCTGATGACCCAGAATGCGTCAGATTGCATTTGCCATTTGGGGAGTTTTCTTTCTTTTATCCTTGGGCTATTGTGAGTGGAACCTGCGAGACCTGCGAGACCTGCAAGACTTGCAAGAACTAGAATCACTACAGAAACCTTGGCAGCTTCATTTGTCCAGGAGATCACCCCTAAACGGGAAGAAACTGGAACGCCGCACACTGGGCGTTCCAAGATCGTCCTGAGCGTCGAGGCCTGGTTGGCTGGCGTCATAAGGCGAAGGGCGAATAGGTATGGCCCGCCTCCCTTTCTGCCCTGCGCTTTTCTGCCCTGCCGGAATTTCCAAAAAAAGCGTTCTTTGTGCGAGCCATGTTTGCAAGAGACCAGTGCCTTCATTGAAGGCCAAGCGAACAAGCAAGTACAGTAGCAGCAAGGGAGCATGCAGCTTCATGCCCAGGCCACCAAGAGCGTGCAGAGCAGCAGCGGGCGAATACAGCGTCAAAACACTGAGAAGGAGGGCTTGCTATGGAGGATTGGGCTGTGAATTCAACGGTGTTGATCACCAACTGAAAGAAGGGTTGTTTCAGATTGTTTCCTGGGATCGGCATGAGCATAAGGCTGTGTGAATGCAGGTTAGCACATACAACCGCCATGGTGGAGTCCTGGCCTGGCGCCAAATCACTCTCTGTGTTCTTCGATGTGAACGAGGCCAGGATCATCGGATCCTTTTTATTTCCAAATGCGTAGCGAAGGGTTCTCGTTTAACTCTGAGGGTCTAGGGGTAGTCTTGTTCGCGACTCGTTGTCGTAGCGTTCGCGACCGTTGTCAGATACAACAGCGCCCCACAAGAGCATCCCACAAGAGTGTCCCACAAGTGAGTCCCACAGAAGTGTCCCACAAGAGTGCCCCACAATGTTTCGCAATGTTTGGCCGTTTGTTTTTCAGTGCATGTGTCCATTCGGGTTCGTGGGTTCCATTTTGTTCCCCCCTCCCACCCTTTGGAACCTGGATGCTTGATGATGTTTTTATATTCATGCCATATGACAACTCTAGTTTCTTCGTGTTTTTAAGTGCTTAATTTGCAGAAGAGCATTTCATTTGTTCATGCTCTTCTCATCCTGTCGTTTTTTGTTTGTCTTGGCTCATTTTCAGAGGCCGGGCCGCAAGAGAAGCGAGTCAGCAAGGCGAGCAGGCCATCCAATCCGGCCATCACCGTGGGCGTTTCAGAGGCGAGGTGGCGCCAGGTGGCGGGGATTGTCGTGCAGCGAAGCAGGCGTAGGATACATGTGTACATCATTGTGCATTTAAACATGTTACATATTATAGATTATATATACAATGTATAATATAGTCTATAATATGTACAATGTATAATATATACTATTTATAGTATACACAATAAAATGCAGAGCTCATGCGTATAGACCTGTATATGTAGAGGTGTAGCTATGTTCACGTCTAGGGGTGGTCTTCATGTTTTGAACATCTGGCAAGGCTGATGCTTGTGTTCAGTTGGAAGGTTTTGTCGAGTCATGGATTGATGGGGCCTGTTTGGGAAGGAAGAAGAGGTGCCACAAGAGCCCGAAGAGGCATGGATGGGTTTTAATTGAATTTTGCTGCTCAAACAGATGGAGCTCATGAACGCTCAAGACGAATCCAGTTGTCAAGTCTTGAATCGTGTTCGGAGTTTGTTTTAGCCGGCGCTTGGCCTCGTGTTCGGCTGCAGCCAGGTGCGTCCATCCTGGACAGAGATTGTACCTAGCACCCGAGTGAGCTTGTAGGATTCTGCACGGGCCACTTTACAGATTGATGCAGTAGCTTCAGTTGCCATGACTGCGACGACCAACTTCAGTACTTTAGTGGTGGCAATCAATCCGTCAGCATTGACATTAAATGCGACCTGACAAGCCCAATCATTGCCATTTCAAGACCTACATGCTCCAGAAAATGGAGTTGCGGTCTTTTGCGCGCTGCCGCAGCCCGTCTTTTGGAGGATTTGAATTTGCACACCCAGCTGCCAGCTGTTGTTCTCAGCCTCGATTTCTTTTGGGAGGACGCTGTGCCAATTTGCTGTGAATCGTTCACCGTTTCAAGTTTCGACAAGATGTTCAAATTCTCCTGGCTGCTTTTTGCAGACCACGTGCGTTGGAATTCGCCCACCGCGAACATGCACCACAAATGCCCTGGCTTGGCAAAGCCACACCTCGTGCCTGGAGCAGTGATCAAGGGCATGAGCCCACATCTTGCATCATGCCCAGAGCTTTGGAGATATGTTTGCACTATTCTTGAACAATTTATTGAAGCCCGGGAACCCTGAGGTGAGGCTTACAAGTAAGCTAAGAAAGAAGCTGGAGTAGCAACAAAGCTTAAAGTAGCTACCTAGGACGCAGAAGGGCTCAGGCTTCTTCAAGGAAGCTCCCCCGCCCTGAAGACGCCTGAGCCTCAATAATCTTCCTAGATGTCCTTGCTCCTAGTAGCGATGCCAGGAGCCCCTGGTAGCGTCCTTGCTCATAGTAGCGATGTGTTTGGAAACTTAACTTTTCAACCGCCACCGCTCAACTTGATCCTGCGTCAAGTGTCCTCCAAAATCTTGCGGGAAAAGATGCTCCAAGTGCGGGGTGCAGGTGCATTTGATCTATTTTACAAGCACGTCTTCGTTTTGCGCCCGGGTGCCACCCGAACGGGTGCGCAAAGGCCTAATGCCACGGCGCCGGGTGCCGTGATGCGAATTTGGCCGCCAAGTACAATGAATCTCTCCGCAGGGTCTTTGAAGGAAGTGGAATTCATATGAATTCAGTGTTTGCTCCAAATAAAAATTTGCACACAACACATGTATACATTAGTATACTTTGATATGGCATGGTCCAGAACTTGGGCTTTGCAATTGCCAACCTGCATCATTCAAACAGCCTTGTACCAAGATTCCGACACTGTCACGTCACGACCTTGTGCATTCAATTGGCTTTTGCTTGGGATGGTGTCCAGCAAGGGGTCCGCGGGCATCCTTTTGAGCTTCCTCTCAGGTCATTCGTGCAGGCCGAGCTGGAGCAACCCCGCCTTCTGGGCACTGAGCCCATGTTGCAGGCGTGAACGTGAGCCCGCAAACCCGACACACTGCCTACACAGACCTTGCAATTGTGGCTTCTTTATGCTTTGGTGGCAAGGGCTAGGGCGGCGAGGCATTGCCAATTCGTCCAATACAGTAAACAACTTCAAATTCTCGTTCGAAGTTGTGTCGCATGTGATTCTGCAATCTCTTCCAGCTGAAGCTCTTGGCTAGGCCGTTTTGGAGAATATATAACAAGAACCGAGGTTTTAAACCAAGTGTCACGAAAAGTCGGTTTCCTGCAGCCACTTTTGGGCCCTCCTTGTAGGGTCTACATCTTTTGATATGTCGTTTCCAGCTGCTTGATGCGGCAGAGCTTGCTGGTGCTATCGCTCCATGTTGCTGATGGAGGTCAACTGCTGCAGCAATTTGTGGATGCACTTGGCCGGGGTGACATGGAGCCTCAGCTTGTATCCAACATGTTTGGGTTGGTCATTATGTGAAATTTACCCGGGGCCTTCTCGCCACAGCAACAGAATCCGCAGTTCAGCGGTCCATTGGATTCTGTCATTCCCATGCTGCATGACTCGAGTGGCTTCAGTACATGTCCATGAGCGCCTGCGGCGTCATTCCCTACGTTTCTTTTTCACATACTTTCTCAACGCCCATGCACGTTTCTGGTCTCAGCACCCGTGTGGCCAGGCCGCCTGTGTTTTTCTGACCAACACTCTCCGCACTATCATGTTTTTCCAAGACGTGACCACGTTGTTCTGTAAAGACTGTGTTTAAGGATGGTTTGCTAGCCTCCTTCAACGTGTCCGAACGCGGTTCCCACCATCATTGGCCTGGCAGTGAGCAGGCCTGCTACCCTTTGAGCCAAAGTCTTTTTGTTGCTTTGCCTTCATGGAAGGAAAGACCCACAATGACATTTTTTGGCAAGTGTAAGCGTAGACCCACATTGACCAGGCACTTGATGTGATGGCCGATGGCATGGGTACACTTAGAATATAGCTCAACTGAATGAGCACAACTTCAGTTGGTGGATCGACGAGTGCATTGGCCCTTTAACTTTACTGCATTTAGACCTTGGCTGAGTAAAACGGAAAGGTGAATGAGTCCGCCGTCAACTGAACAGTTTCAACACGAGTGCGATAAACCGCAGCAAAGGCTTGCAAAATTGTTATAGTTAAAATTAGTTAAAAGCAGGGACTAACATGAGCGTCTTCGTTGGCTCTCATCTCATGCAGGCTCCGAGAGCCCTCTGCTTTCATTAATTAAGGTAAGAGCAGAAAATGCACGTTCCTGGTGAGAAAAGGATCAGTGGTGTGGAGCCCTTTGGAACAGGGGTTGGCACACACACACACACTGGGTAGACCCATTTATCAACATATGTATATACTTGTATTGTACGCGTATGGATATGTAGATGCATATGCGCACGATATATCACCCACTCATCGGACGGTACGCTCCGCGACGATGGCATGAATGACGCCCTGGTCGCATCCGAAGAACACCCCAGTGCAATGTACAGATCAAACTAGACAAGTGACAAGAAGCTACTAGTAACAAGGTGCATCGCTACTAGTAGCAAGGACGCTACTAGTAGCTAAGCGCATCGCCACTTGACAGAAAAGGCACACGCCACGACTCAATTGTGCGGCCCGGGCCACCACACAAGGTGTGCGCTAAGGATAGGAGGATTTCATCATCCAGAGAGGGACAAGCATGTACAATGCGGACTATATATATATATATAATGCACAGTTGAATGCGATTAGAGGCATGAGGTGCTTGTGTTGAAGAGCCAGGCTTTGGATCTTGCGCACTCCTTGCGCACAGTTGCCGCTTCGCTCGCCCCACAGATCTTGGAGCCATGCCTTGGTGAACGTAAATCTTTCCGAGGCTTGAAAGATGTCTTAGATGAAGGCGGGCATTGCTTCTCTGTCTTGATGTTGATAGTGCAGTTTCGGTTTGCTGATGGTCGGGTTGTGACAGGAGGCGGCCACTTGCCACATGGATTTTGCCCTCTCAGTCGCAAATGGTTTCCTCCATGACAGGCAACTTCCATCTTCGTGAACACTCCCAGCATATCCTCAGCACCCTTCACGAAGCTGGCATGGTTGGTGCACCTGGTGTGGCGACACTTCGTGCATTGGTGGCAGCTGTGGCTGGGCGGACGCATTCGGAGGGGAGCATGGCGCCGGACTGCAGGATGCTGGAAGCATCAATCAACGAAGGCAGACGTGGGGAAAACCATGCTCGTGGAAAATGCCTTCTTCCAACAACGCAGAGCGGAAACGTATGGAAAAGTAATGTCGAAATCGCAAACAAAGAGATGAAGAATATAGGGTCCTTAAAATGGACTTTCTCTGATCCTTACCGTTTTATTTCCTGTTTGTGTTTCCACCACTTGCATTCTTTTTGAAATGCGATTCGCACTCTTAGTCATGCTCCGGAAGGGCAATGAATTTCTCAATGGCCCAGGAGGATCGTGCAACTTGATCCTGAACGTCGGCTTGATGTGTTTCTCGTTTCCTCACGATTTACCTTGGAACATTTTCCGTTTCATGTTTCTCTGAAGCCAGGGTCAGTGGGGATTTGGCATACTGACCCATTCCCAGGTACAATGCTTGGTGAGTAGGTGGCCTCATGCCACCAAGAAGGTGTCTATGAATCCATTGTGGTCGCGTGGGGTAACTAGTGCTCATAGCCTTAGCCCCATGCTCTCTCCAGCACCAAGGTATTTGGAGCCTGCTCCAAGCAGCAGAGCGATGTGAGAATCTCTGGAATTGGGCCTTTCCCGGCTGCTAAGAGAAATAATGTGAGACAGTGCATCAACTTGAGCGGAGCCATGCTGACCTTCTTTGTGCTGTTTCCACTTAATTTTGTTGAGCCCCCTCCAACTTGTTCCAGTCCTCAGCGTCAACGGGGGTCGCAAAAGTGCTTGTGATCCAGCTAGTCCCCCGAAAGCGTCGGTTCGATAGGCTCTTTACCCCTACGCAAGCCATACAAGTTAATGGGTTGAGAAACAAACCTTTGGGAAGTTGCTCAGCTCTTTAGGAAGAAAAACTGGTCAAGTGTTAGCTGGCCAAAAGTTGCCCTGGCAATTCAACGACCCACAGACACCTGATTTGCATGTCTTCTTAACAAGCAAGCTTGCCAAGTCAAGGCCCATGTTTAGCTCGTTCGCGCATTTTGTTCTCTCCCAATGAGCCGTGTTGGAATTGTAGCAGCATGCGGGTACACACCGTTGTGTCCTCGCCAAGGCTTTCCAGCTGAGTGGACTCAGAGCTGGCAGTTTCGAACAGACCTTGGAGATAAACCAGCGGAGACTCTGGAGGCTCTTTTGACGCTGCATTCGGAAAACTTAAGCTCCATGACTGTGCCCATTTAGTGCGTGGCATTCAACTTGGTTGCACACAGAGCTACTTGAGCCTTGAGAAGACAACCGGTCTGCATGCACCCGAGGCATGGCAGAGATTGGCGTTTTCAAGGGAGATTTGTCAACGCAGCTTTTGGAGCGATTTCCGCACTTACGGATGTTGCTGGTGGACCCCTACCATTTGCGCATGGAAGGCTGGAGATGTTGGGTGAACCCTGCTGCCAAGCTGGCACGGCTACCAGTCATTTTCGCGCATTAGGCAGCTGGCAAAGGCATTGCAATCAAAGGGGTTGATGTTTGGCTGTGGGACCAAGCCTAAAAAACCTGAAAACCCAAGGCCTTGCAGCCGATCAGCCACAGGGCCTCTCAACAGAGGCCTTAGACGTGGCAACTGCTCGCACCCAGCTTCACCGAGTTCGGGCAACACACCTGCTGCAGGTCTCGGAGCAAGCGGCCCAGTGGATTGCCAGGACACTCTCATTCAATTCTGCCTATCCAACTACAACAACGCTTTTCCCCTAAACAGTTTACTGTTGGGGTTCTATCTTTGAAAATTGGGGTTCTATCTTAGAAAAAAGAGCTGGCCACTGACTGGCCGCGCCCCTGAGCTCTCTGGCCGGTTCTTGTCCTCCTCTTGTCCTGAACTCTGTGGCCGGGCTCTGTGGCCGGGTCTTGTGCTCCTCTTGTTTTCTCTTGTCCTGCTGTTGTCCTCTTCTTGTCCTTCTCTTGTCCTCCTGTTGTCCTCTGGCCGCGCTGACCAGCCCTGGCCACACTGACTGGCCGCACCCCTGACCTCTGTGGTCGGGTGTTTAGAATGCTGAGTGACGTCCAATCGGATGCCCGCGAAAGAAGCGGGTTCGCTCGCGCAGAGCCCCGTCTCATACTGTTGATAGATGGGGCGCCCGATAATGTGCCCGTGAGACGCATTGGACATGGTCAGTTTTTCATGAACATGGTCAACAGCTGGAGAGGAGTGTGGCCGAACAAATAGCCATGTCGATGCCGACAAAAATCATTGACGAACCAATTTGCTCTTCGGGGGGGAAGGTAGGGCGTACCAAGAAGTCGTTTTTGACTAACATTGGTCCAAGCGAATCGTCTTGAAACTGTTTGGAGTCTATGCTGGTGTAATTCATACTTTAGACTTTTATCGTCATTCGAATCAGCCTACTTGAGTGACTGTACTCAAAGTAGCCTTGGAAGAGGTCAAGTTTCTGCAAGCTGTTGCGCCTTCCTGTCTCCCTTTGCGTCTCGCTGTGTCGACGACCGTGCCGCAATTCGCGCATTCTGACTCATCTAGAAATTTGCGAATATGAATTCTTAGGAATTCTTTGGATTGCGTCTATGTGGATGGTGACCATAGCTATCACGGAGCTGCTTCGGACATATCGTCTTGGTGGCCCACCATTCGCCCTGGTGGACTCATGGCCGGGCATGCCACTGGGCGCTGTTAGTGTTCATAAGAAGAACCTATGTAGCTTCTAGCTACTAGTAGCGATGCCAGGAGCCCTTAGTAGCGTCCTTGCTCCTAGTAGCGATGCCCTTTGTTACTAGTAGCTAATGGGGATATGATGGGGTAGGAGGTGAGTGTTGGCTCCTAGCCTCAGCCACGAGGGTTCCCAATTTGGACGAGGCATCTGAACCCAGAAGCCCACGGCAATTCCTGCTTCAGTTCCATTGCAGTCCTCCATGGCCTCCAAGGACTACACGTTGATATGGCCCGGGGTTGTGACCGCAGTGAATGAGTTTGCAGCGGCCAAGGGGCTAACGGTGCACTTCACTCCTGAAATCTGGTGGTTTGTAAAGCCGCAGTTCAACCAAGATGACGCATGAAAGTTCAACATCCAACTGTAAGCAGCTGGCCCGCCCTTCATTTCCAAGAATTGAGGATTGGCAGGTTCCTGGACTTCTTAAGCAGATTCAGTCAAGGAACTTTGCTGCAAGAACTTGCCCGTGGCGTTGGCCTCCGCATAGCACTAGTGCATTGCATTGCAGAGATTGTACGGGACAGCCTGAGGGTGCCTGTTCAAGTAGCTGTGCCTTAGCGGCCCTAGCTGGACCTAGCTCTTTGAAGTCGGCTGGTGGAGATCATGTTTGAAGCTGACAACATGATGCTTGACGTCCATTGGGAGTGTCCTCCACTGTAGCACTGCTAGTCGCATGATGCTCCGAAAGAAAGGGTGGCGACCGGCTTGAAACCAGACAGACGGCATCGTGCCAAGAAAGTGTCGTTTCGACAGTTAGGTTTCAAACCATGTGGCAGAGTAGTTCATGGTGGAAATTCCAACCAGAACATCCAGAGTTAGGCAACTGACCGGTATGGGGTCGACGGGTGCGGAGTGCCCAAAGCCACTCCTTGGATGACCCAATCACTCAAACATTCAGTTCCGATCCATTGGACTTTGACGCTTTTGGAGCTGCTAAGTTTTTCAGCCCAATCTGCTTTGCTCTTGCTCTTGCTCTGGTTTTTGTCCAGGTTGCCCAAAGTCATTTGAGAGACTTGGCAATGATGAGACCTTCACAAAATGGAGGAGGCAGTGCATGTGCTTGCTGCCAGGGACGTTCAAGTGTAGTTTTGTGGCACTTGACCAGCGCATGTTGGTTTTAGGAATTAAGCGATCCAGACGATGTTGGTTTCGGGGCTCTCACCCTGCTGGCAGGAGAGCTTTTCTCTTTAGAGGAAGTTGAGGAAGCATTTCTTGGAGCAGAAGAGGTAAGTTTCGGACAGGACAGCTCGGGTGTGCCGGCGCCATCCTATAACCGCACGCCTTGTCGTTCCAATATGCAGCATCATTGTTTTGCACTAGGCTGACTATTTCTTCATCACAAGGCACGCGCGCGCATAGTCAGTCTTGACAATTGGAGGAAGTACTTCTTGAAGGCGACAATGCAACTATGTTGCTGAAAGCATCATGCTCAGGCAGCGTGGAACGGTCGAGTTTTCTGTGATGTCGCACCGTCAGGCATCCATGGCTTTCGATACTCTAGAAAGATCAAGAAACCTCTCTGGAAGGTAAGAGCAAGAACGCTACTAGGGGCTGGTAGACTGGTTCTTTCTCTTTAGGGGGTCGCTGCCTTGGGCCCTATACTATAGATTGTAAGGAGAAGTTGGACTTGCTGGCAGACTCGGCACAAGGACGGCTTCTTTATAGAAGCACAACATGATCTATTACTAGGCTCACCTTACATCTAATCCCTACTGCTCCTTGCAAAGACCTTGTCCTGAAATACAATGAATACCAACGTTTTCGCTCTCAGACTTGAGTTGTGTGCTTGCATACTGTAGTTACTACAGTGGATGTTCTAGAGACATAGTGTGGAGCTCGACTGCGTTTTATGGAGGAGAGGGGAAGCCGCGACCGGGATCGGGACAGGAGCCGCCAACGGCGTGATGCCTCCAAGCATAAGCGGAGGTCGGAACAGGTCCTTGAAGATCGACTCAACCCAGCGGCAGCAGGACCCCCACTGAGCAATCACAGGTTGGGAGGCCCCAACAGCAGGACAGTTCGCCTTAGGGAAGAAGAGCAGTGCTGCAGCTGTTAGCTCAACCTCCTGAGAGCTGGCTGCGCTCCTGAATTCTTGGTGGAGCTCATCAACTTCCGGAAGGAAGGGAGCGAGGCAACTTGATTTCGAGGAAAGGTTGGAAGTTGCTAATGGGTTTAGTTCTGGTAGGTCCAACACGGCAAGCCGAAGGGCCAACCCTCTTAAGCGTAAGGGCTGGGAGTTGGTGGCCCACAGCAGCTCCTTGGTGAAGATGCAGTGGCCGGAGAGCACATCCAGCTCCAGAAAGCGGTTTCGGAGCAGTTTTCGCGTCGCTGGCGGGTGATGTTGCGGTCGGCATAGCTCCGGGTGATGTCCGGGCTCCGGCATTGAAGCGGCGTCGTACTCTTCCAAACCAACGCTGTTCACTTTGGAGGAGTACACCGTTAAAAAAAAGAGAGTAGGGCTGGTGAGCAGACAAGAAGAGGGACCCCATAGCCCTAAAACTGCAAAGGCTGAGGACGCTACTAGGAACAAAGGGCATCGCTACCAGGAGCAAAGACGCTACTAGGGGCACCTGGCATCGCTACTACGAGCATTCTTACTACTAAGAGCAAGGACGCTCCTGGCCATAGCCCATTCCCTTGAGTCACTCGGTGCACCAGGGAAGAAGCCACCCCGCACAGGACAGGGAAGGCGCTTCTGACGCATCACCAATGAAGGACAGAGAGCAGATTGCTCCTAGTAGCGATGCCCTTGTTCCTAGTAGCTTCTTGTTCCTAGTAGTAAGGCCAGGAGTGCCCCTAGTAGCGTCCTGGCTCCTAGTAGCGTTTGCGTAGGTACTTTGAGATGGCAAGGATGCTTTACGAATGGCTTGACAGTGTGGAAGTACAGATGGAGTTAAAACACTTGCTCGGCCAGGGCACGAAGATCAACGATATGAGGTTTAGACTTAGACTCCACACAGCACCAAGCCCAGCAGCCACCGGTTTGAGATACGTGCGCATCTTGGCCAACCTTCTCGAGGAGATTGATTGTGTTGAGCACCCGTCCAGACTTGGCTCACCTGGAAGCTAGGGGGGTCCATCACAGGCCCACCGGCAGACCATTTCCCACTGAGTGTGTATATATATATATATGGGGAAAGAGAGAGAGAGAGAGAGAGAAAAAGGTGAGCAGGGTGTATGAGTTTTTTTGGTTTTCCCGCGATATCACTTTCTTATCAAATTTAATCGGTAATATTCAATAACAAATGTCAATCGAAAGGTTGCATTCCTGTTCCCCTCTTGTGAGGCCTGGGCCTAGGCGGAAGCCTGTGGTCCTTGGCGTGCTACGGGCTTTGTGTGGTTGTCGGAGCGTCCGCCAAAGTGGCGCGGCTACCAGACCTGGAGGCACTGGAGAGCACTGAGCATTCATGAAAAGTCGCGTGCACTGAATGCACATGAAATTGGGTGCGGGCCCTCCAGAAATCTATATATCTCCACCATTGCTTTTGGCATGGGTCCGCCTTTTCACTCGAATGCCCGCGGATCATAGCTGCGGAATCCATTCTCATCCGTGCCCGTTTTTTTTTCCGGAAAACAAGAGCATTTAATGAAAAAAGACTGCGCAGATATCCCCCTGCGAATTGCCCCGCCCACTTCAACCACTTGTTGTCCCAGCCACCTTCCATGTGATTGCCTGACGGATGATAATTTCCGCATTGGGGCGCCATTACGATTTACCGTTCCTTTAATTGATGTGATATTATGTTTTTTTTCCTGCTTGATACCTCCATATGATGGTTTGTACACTTCCCACCATGCCTGCCACAACAGAAAGGGGTGCGTAGGCAGCGACGACAATCGCGCGAGGGGATCCCACACCATGTTATATAGACGAACAATGAACATCCTCAGTAAACTATTCTGGTCTTGGTTTTTCACCAGCACGGGTTGACCCATGACCATACAATGAAAGTCTCCAGTGGAGGCTTTGACAGTGGCAGATGTGGTCGTGCTTCTGGGAGGTGCGGTTTTGCTAGGGCCGTTGAGTTCTCCAGACAGGTTTGATGTTCTTGCGCTCGCACGGAGATGGACCAGTTCAGTTTTGCATTGCCAGGCATCTCCAGGCATCCTTCCCGTGATGTCCAGCAGCAGCTGACAGACGCTGCAAAGGAGGCCCCGTAGACCGATGCATACAATGATCACACACAACTAAACCCCGACAAACTTACAGACCCGAAGCGGACAACCTAGAGAAATACAATTTCGTAGTAGTGATTCGCAGCATTCAGCGACAAATTGCATCTCACCCGCAATTTTATGAATGTGAGCTTTGAGGTGGCGGTTGTGCTGCAGTCCCGAGGGAACGTTCTGGTGCCGTTGAACGGCTCACCAGAGGCTGCTTCGCCATTCCGCCAGAATGAGTGGCAAGGGGTTAGATCATGTCAAGAAGTTCTGAAGGAGTTTCTGAAGGGAGACCTTGATCTTTTTTACGAAGCAATTCCCTTGGTCAATCTATACAACCAAGAAGGGCCCACGCAAGAATGAGAGAAGGTAGCAGTTGAATCGAGAACTCAGAGCTGTTGGCTTCAATCTCGTTTCGCCAAGACACGATTTTGCAGCATTAGTAAGGGATCAGTCCAGCAATGCGACCACAAGCACAGCTTAGTTGGCCTTGCCTTGATTTCTAGATTTGCACTTGGCCTTGCCGTGATTTTCCTTTGTGTGAGGATTTCACCGAAGAGCTGACCGAGTGCATCGCCAAAGCCATCTCAGAATTGGAGCATTTTGGCGAGAAATGGTCAGGCATTTGTGCGCTTGAAGCAGACTGACCATGACGGCAGATTTTGGATGTGGTTTGCTAATGTTGCCGAGGAATCAGGGGCCCATCTTTGCCATCAGCACGCCTGCTCGATCTTTGAGGTAACCGGCATTGGTTTGAGTGAGTGGAAATTCCAACGTTGCAGAAAGGCATCCGGAGCACAACATTTGCCGACAGGCGCTGTGGTCGTTGGGCCGAGTGGACTTCCAAGAAGGGTCAGGTGCAGACCTGAGGCTTTTCGCTGGAACATTGAATCTTGTGGTTGGTATAAAAAATACACAACTTTATATATATATATATAATTATATATATAATATTTATGTTTATATGTATTTTGACGTACATACATGTGGGTGGGTATCTAAATGAACACATATATAGTATAATATGCATTCCGTTGCTGTGCGGGTATAAGTCTTCCACCTGCACAGGAGGACGCATTCCGCAGAACCGTTCTGGTGAAGACAAAGTCTCTCCCAAAGACGAATTTCAAACGGCGGCCTGGTAGGGGGTGGTGTTCTCGCGAGCATGTGGTGGCATCAGTTTGGCGGCACCTTGTTCCACGCTTTGCGGACATACTGACAGACCTGCTCCTCAACATCACACGCCGACTCTGTGGCTAGAGAAGCTGCCATCTTGGAGTCAAAGCTCACGACTTCCTCTGTGCCGAAGCTGGAGGGGCCGCGGGCAGAGGCTCTGCGTGGCTGAGGAGCTCGTTGCAGAGTCAGGAGGGCCATTAGAGTCGGCCAAAGAGATAGTGCTTGGGGCAGAGGATCCGTCTATGACAGCGAACGGTAGTAGCTTTGTTGTTCCCTCTTTTTGAGGACGGTATGTGACTCTGTAGAAGCCTCCAAAGGATGATTGATTATGCATATGAAGTGCTCGTATGATCGAGCAGGTCAGTCATGTGAGGATGCGGTATGCTCTTCGTGTTGCGTGGGACAGAAGTGAAGGCTTCTCAAGCAGGAAGCATGTTTAGATGCAAAGGCAACAAGTGCGCATGTGTGCAACTAAATGTGCACTCGCAGAAACAAGGCGCCAATGGCCGCTTCCCTGAAATGCCGGGAGTTATGCCCCGTACCAAATGGGGACACATGGAATGTGCCGTCAGGGAATGTGTGACATTGTGTCCCAGAGCGTCGTCAGCGTATGTTCTGTCGCGAGGATGTGATGATGGTCGCAATGTGTCGTGAGGAGGAATGTGCAGTCCGGCAAGGGTGCGGAAAAGGGTCAGGGCAGTGTGACGACACTGTGCCGTCACCGTTTGCAAACAATTCGTCGGTGCAACGTGCCATCAGCTTCTCCCCCGAGAGTCATGACCAGCGGGCGTGCATATACCTGATAGTAGCAAAAATATGCAAACATGTTTTTCATGTATAAATCTGTATCTTACTGTTATAGATTTGTCCAAAAGGGCCTATATAGGCAAGACGCTGCGTGCCTTGTGCTCCTCGCAGGAACGTGCTCGCGTCGGAGAGCACCCGTTCCTTGTGGATGCGCTGAGGGAGAGTGGCCGCCTTGTATTGCATCTCAGCAGAGAATGTGTGGAGTAAAATCGGGGAAACTCAAGGTGTGCAGTGTTGAAACTCTTTCAGTTTTGACAGCTCCTTCAGCGATCGGGATCACATAGATGAGCTTTACTGTTTTACTTGATCCCAACACATTGATGTGGAACAGAAGTCTTGAAACAGGGGAGGCGTGTGAACCCAGGGTCTTCTCCCTATCTCGCCTTCTCGCTCGTCAGGGCTGAGACGATCAATGACCTGACCGACGCTTATGAGGAGTTGGATGCTTACGCCAATGGACCATTGGGTTTGCGCCGGTTTCAGTAGCTCCAGCTCTGGGCTCTGGCCGGCTCTGCCGCTCTCCCTTCACTCCTTTGATCTCGTTTTGCAACTCATCTCGTGAAGCAAGGACGCTATTAGGTGGAGGCCATCGCTAGTAACAAGAATCTATTGTGGCCTGTGAGACTTGCTGAGGCCATGTGTTGTCTTGGCTCCCATCTCTCTGAAGCGGCACTTCGAGAAGCTTTGGGCGGGCCTGTGTGTGGGTATGTGTGTTATGGCCTGTGGCCTGTGAGCCTACGCTGGGGCTATTTAGAAAAAACAATCTGAAAGTCTGTCAATGTGATGAGTCCGTAGTTTTGCGTCCATTGTGCTTTTACCTGGGTCGAAATGGTTCTGGCCCGAAGAACATCCATTCAAACTCCTTTGGGCAAGAGGGGTGCTTATATATTTCTTTGGAGTGGCCAGGCCTTGAAAGTTGTGTATGTCCAGGTGCCTGATGCAACTGGACGCCTTGCCGCTGCTAGTTTGCACGTGTCAGGACTCACAGAAAGCCTCCAGGCGACTCTGCTGGTTGGATGTCCAAGGAGTTTTGCCAGGCACCTCTTGCTCGCTGCACAAGTATCAAGATTCATCAAGATTCCATAGGTTTATACAACAAAAACATGATGCAACCTTGATGTTTCAGGTGTTGGCAACGCAATACAGCCTTATATTTCCGCAACAGTGGCTTGGCAACGAAAAGACATCTCTGTTTTCCTTCCCTCCTTTCTTCTTCCAGAGGCTCGTATGGTGCCCGCAGTGACTGGAATCTGGAAAATCTGCACACAATTTGTTCTTGGAGGGACCTGAATGGGACCTGAAAGGGGCCTGAGGGAACCTGAGGGAACCTGAGGGAACCATTGCTTGTTCGGGCGGGATTTCGTGCTTTTTTCGGCGCTGGGGGTCCGAGCGGTTCCGGTGGTGAGGACTTTTTCATTTCTTCAGTGTAAGATCGACGGGGTGAGTCAGAGAGGTCATTCTGCGGCCACAGAGGTCATGGCCAGCCAGGTCCAAGCTTGATTTGCGAAGCCTAGGAACCAACTCTAGTAGCAAGGACGCTATTATATAGGTTGAGGCCATCGCAACGCTATGAAGGCTCCGGCTTCTTCAAGAAAGGGTTTGCCTGGTTTGGCTCAAACTCAAAGTGCTTCTCAAGGGGGTTCCAACCCAAACAACAAACAACAAGACAGTGGTCATGAAACCTACCATACCACTGGGTATATTGCTGCAACAGACTCTGAACCGAGGGAAACCTTGTCCGATGCGACGGCATCTGATAATTTTTGACCGCTTTGCTTGGAGATATAGGTTGGAAAACGTCAGGTGCAACGCATCATCCAAATCCATCAACTGGTGAGTGCTGGCAGGTGTCCTCATAATCCAAAGCTTCAGCCCGAACCACGTCACATGCTTGGTTACCAGTTACCAGTGCCGAGCCAAGCACCGGAAGACAGCTCTCCGTCTGCAATTGCCATTGCCATCACTGGCTTCCAGCGGACCGAGACCGCCCAGGCATCGCAGGTGAGTGGCAGCTCGGCGGTAGCCTAAGCTACAACCAAGGCAGCACATCTGAACACAGCAGCCACATGCGCTGCCCCCCTGGTTGCGGAAACCGCCAGCTGTTGGGACCCTACTGCAACACGGGTGCTCCGCACTATCTCCGGAGCGGCTCGCGAAGAGGCTGACCGCGGAACCACCCATGGGACTACTGTTGCAGGAGTTGAGTGTGACGATCCGGCGGGCGAGGGCGTGCTGTTTTGAGACACCGTGCTGAACTCCATTCCCAGGGTCCTGAGCCTCAGCGCCAGGCCGCCCTCCTCCTCGAGGACCGCAGCTACTGAGTCGATACTCTTGCTCTCCTAGTTTTGATTGCCTGGTGTTTTTGAGGTGGGTCCTCACTTTGTCTATGAGGCTGCCCCTTTTTCTCCCTTGCCTCAGTGGCAGGGTTTGCTTTTTTGGTAGGGGGCAAACCCAGCTGCATGAGGCCGCTGGCGCTTTTTTGCTCCTCCTCCCTTGCTGCCCCTTCTTTTGGCGATGCGGGACCTAGACGATGCACCGCTTCATCTGAGTGGTCGCCCGTGTCTCTTCGTTGCCCCGTTTTTCCCCCCACTCCCGGCAGTTTGGCTGAGCGGCGGTCCATATGGTTTGCTGACCAGCCTGTGTGTGTTGTGCAGCTGTCTCCTCTCAGCCTTGTCCTCTCACACGAGGGGATCCTTTGGACTTCCATCAGCTACCTAAGCTGATGGCCTTGGAGATACACACCTCCAGAAGACTTATACAACTACCCCTTTGCTGACTATGCCCGTTCCATAGCTTACTAGTGGAGAGAGGGTCTGTGCCAGTGAAAACTAGGCGCCGTTCTTGATGTTAATGGCTCCGGCCTTTTGGCACGCTGAGCTCGAAAGCCTTTTGAGGTTCGGGGGCTTGAAGGAAAGGACGCAAAAATAAAGGCGGCAAAGCAACATCAAGCCAAGGATCAAGGAGCTGCCCGCGTTTGCTAAATCTACAGCTTTGTGCCTCCACTACACTCCCCGTCTCGGCTAGTTTTCTTTTTTTGGGTCTGTTCTTGCAGCGCTTTTGATTTGCAAGTCTGTAGCCTACTGGCTGAGGAATTAGCCAGGACTTGGTCTTCGTGTGCCCGACCACCGAAGTTGATCGTGCCGACCCTCGGGCTGGCATGGGTCGTCTTCAGGAGCAACCTTTGTGATAGCAGCTTTTCATGGCCAGAGTCATGCCATCATCCAACCATACTATATTTAATGCACTGTACATGTTTGGTTGGAGCCAGTGCCCTGTGTCACACAGCGTGACTCACTTGTGATAAGGAAGGGTCGAGTTCCGTTACCACCAGAGCTCACCTCCTGCAAGGCTACGGTCCGGGAGGTTTTCGGGATGCGGCTGATAGGTTCCCAGCATGGTGGGTCTAAGATTTCGACGCTCGACCCACTGCCAGCCACCCACTTCAGCAAGCATTGATGGAACACTTTACATCATGACTCATTCTGGGATGTGGTTGCCAAGTGAAGAGGGGAGTCTTCGCGAATGTAAAACCTCCACAGGCCCGCAGAGCTAGCCAGCGAAAGCAAAACATGCCCTACGACTCTTCTGCCCAGTATTTCTTGAGGCGGTGGAGCTCATGGTGCTTGACTCTGGTCTTCTAGAGGTGCCACTGGATTTGAATCCTGACAGGATTGAGTCAGATTGAGTGCGCTTGTTGTTTGAAGTCTTCGATGTTCTGGGCAAGGAGGTTTGGCTTGGGGTTGGCCAATGCATGGGGTGGTGTTTTGCGCTTAATAACTCTTGTGATTCAGGTGATTTCAGGTGGTTTAGAATCATGTGAAGCATGTGGAGTGCCGGATAGTCAGTGTCAGAGATCGTGAGAGGGGATTTGGTGTCGCATGTGAATGTGCTTACTTCCATTTCATCCTTCACGCCTGTGGTCCTTCGTAAAAGTGATAGGTTGTTTTGGTCAGCCACACCGGCACACATCACCACCTAGGCCCTGCAAAGTATAAACTGAATGATGCCCACCTCCAGGGTAGCCATCGCTACTAGTAGGGGTGGAGGCCCTCGCTATTGGGTTGGAGGCCATTGCTAACAGTAACACGGGCATTACTACTAGTCAAGAAGCTACTAGTAACAAAGGGCATCGCTACTAGTAGCAAGAAGGCTACTGTTACTAGTAGCTTCTGGCCTTACTAGTAACAAGAAGCTACTACCTTCCTTTCGAACAGATTGAATCGCTCCGCCCAAGGGACCGGCCCCGCGTGAAGTGCTGGCTGCCGCGAGACCACCTGGCAGTGGCACGAAAACAGGGACGTCACCTAGCCGCATCGGGGTTCAGTACTTGTGAGCTCAAACAACTGTGATTTGTTTCCTTAAGTTACGAGTGATCCACCAAACCTCCTCCTAGCGTCCAGCGCGAAGGCAAACGGCCGGCAGATGTGCTACCTCTACATGGCACCTTCATTGGCAACACCAGGCCCCGTCCCGAATCGGCAGCAGTCCAAATCAAGCAAGTGGGTGTGACTTCGTGGCCTGGTAGATGGATAAGGTGTGGAAGTGTTTCAAGGGCCGCACTGCAAGGCCGCGGATCGCACCACGCCAGCCAGAAGCCGAGCTCCTGGCTGGGGCTGTGGAGGTCAAGGCTCAAGTGGACTCATCTTGAAATGTGGCGCCTGGCCCCAGGGATGGAACGCATTTGAGCATCGCGCGAGGCCTTTCAGGATGCCATGCGGAAAGCGGGGCTGGTAGTGGAAGGCGGGCTCAGAACTCTCCGGCTGAAAGTCCATGAACACCAAAGACGACGTTTGAGAGACCAGATCTTTCAAGCGCTTTTGCGATTTTCTTTGCCTTAGAGCCACTTGGAGTCTAAGAGCATCTGAGAGCCAGCTAGCGGCCAGGGAGTGGAGAAGTGCTGAACGTACCTTCTTTGGATGCAAGGCCACGAGAGGGTGAAGTGACAAGGTCAACTCATGGGGTCCACGTGGCACGTGTCAAAGCTTTTCGTATTCCACTTTCGTAGACCAGGGAAGCTGATGTTGGGACTTGTTTCGACTCCTTTTCCACATACTGCGCAAACTATTGCCCCGCAGCGGGGGACTGAACTCCTTTGACACGACCAAACCATGCGTGCCATTTCATTCGCAGAAGCACGTCTGGAAGACGAACGGCAGGAGATACGAAGCTCCGAGTGACAAAGACAGAGACATCAACAGAGGCAACAGACGAGACATCAGCAGAGGCAACAACTTTGGCAACAACATTGGCGGAAAAAAACGTTGGCAACAATCCTTCCAACAGGAAGCAAATCATGGCAAAAAAACAGGGACAAACCGAGCAAACATGGAACACCACAACATACCACACCAAGCCTTCCAGATGGCACCCCGGGACACCGCCCATTTATGGGCTGACTGAACGACCCCACAGACATCCACATCAAGACTCTCGAGCAACTTTTTTCTATTACCGACGGGCTAAAGTTAGGATTAACCAGAAAAGACGGGAACGCAGAAGACAGTGGAGATTCTTCAAACGCACATGTCTGTGGGCGAGAGCCACTAAGACAGCCAAGGAACGGTTACAGAAAAGTAGTCTTGCTAAGAGGAAATGTTTGAAGCAACACAGCTTCAAACAATCATTAAACCATGCAAGACATTGGTTCAAATCCACGATCAAGAAAAGGAAACAAGAATTTTGATATAAATGCGCCGCTATCAAGTTCCAAGAAACCAGTTTAAATCAGAGCAACAAACTACAAAAAAATGAGGCGAAACAATGGAAGCTAAAACACGGAAGTCGCTTGAAAGTTGCCACTTTGAATGTAAGAGGATGCAATCACCTTACCAAACGGGAAGTAATTGATGATATTATGAAGAAGCACTCATACGATATACTACTTCTAACAGAGACCAACGTTAATACCTCCAGCTGGGAAAAATGGGACAGCTCAACTTGTTTCTTTAGTAGTAATATTGACCCCAAAATAAGAGAACGAGAAATGAAAAAAAGGGACGAAAACATAAACCCTGGAAGGGCGAGAGCAAACTACAGAACATCGGAGGACTTTGAAAATGCCGGAGTAGGAATAGTGATTAATTCATCACTCCTTCCAAGTCTGCGAGATATTAGACAAATTAACGGCCGGATAATAACAGCCACGTTTGAAGCACAGGGCTCACCTCTTTCCTTTATTTGTGCATATGCACCTCACAGCGGACACACTATTGAACAGAAAGAGGAATTCTACGACCAACTATCCACAGAAGTGTCGCGAATAAAAGGGCGCTTCTTGATTGGAGGAGACTTCAACGCCCGTATTCATTACGTTAGAGACAACGATATCGATGTATGTGGACCACATATCATAGGCAGAGGAATGGAATATCTAGATAACATGAATGAACATACAAAAGAAAATAGGGCACTTTTCCTTGGGTTTTGCAAATCACACCGCCTTCAAGTTGCAAACAGCTTGTTTTCGAAACCGCCTGAAAAGTTAGTCACTTACAAGGAAAAAGTCCATATGGGTGAAAACGAAGAATACAATGGCCCCCCATATGACGCAATAAAATATGCACAGATCGATTACTGGCTCTGTGGGCAGATCGAGCAAACAGCAATATCAGATATCCAAAGTAGATTAGATGTTCTTTTTGATTCAGACCATTTTTTGTTGGAATGCAAGCTCAATATTTCTTTCCCTACATTTAAAAAGGATAATGCGCCACGTACGTCGCGATATGCGAAACCTGACTCAGACAGATGGATTTTCTACAATAATAACATTCGGTCTTTGCTAGAGGGGAAAAGATGCGACTTGGATTCACTCACAGAGGCCATGAAAAACGCGGCCGCAAGCTCACTAAGGATAGAACCTCCGAATAAAACGAAAAAAATTTATCCGTCAAAGTACTTGGGCAAAAATTGAAGAGAGAAACGAAAAGGCCCGAAACGGAACCACAGCAAAGGAAATAACGAACCTCAACAGGGAAATTGCCCGAATGGCCCGGAGGGACAGGCAAGACCATTTGATAGAACAATTCAATGAGAACCCCCAAGATCCCAATAAGAAAGGTTTATGGAGAGCGGTTAAGGGATTAAAAAAGAAATTCATACCCAATTATGTGAAAATGAAGAACTTGGATGGTCAGCATGTCCCTTTGGCCCAACGCGCTGAGACTATAGCGAACTATCTAGAACAAAAACACTGGAGCAACCAAGCTGAAAACGAAATCAACCACAGCAAACTTGTAGATAGCAACGATGCAGGAGTAGAGAGTTTCACAATACAAGAGCTCTGTGCAGCCATCAAGGCGGCAAAGCCCAATAAACAACCTGGCCCTGATGGTCTAACTATGGAACTGATCAAGTGGCTGGACAATGCCAACCGGCGGGTTCTTTTATCTGTTATCAACAGCTGGTGGAATTCAAAAACTGCGCCGTCGGCATTGTTCATGGCCCGTGTTGTCCCTATCTTCAAGAAAGGGGATACAGATATTGCTTCCAATTACAGACCAATCTCCTTACTCAACAGTTTCTATAAAATATACATGGTGATGATCAGGGCCAGAATGCAGGCAGCCACAGAGCATCTACTGTCTAAAACCCAGTACGGCTTCAGGCCCAGCAAGTCTACTTCACATGCCATCTATATTCTCAGACGAATTCAAGACTATTCCGAAATTAAGGGGGCGAAGCTGAGCATTGCCTTCCTAGATTGGGAAAAAGCATTCGATAAAATTCAACATGACAAGCTTCTTGTTGCCCTTGGCCGACTGGTTTTCAATTCGCAGTATACAGAAGTCATCGCAGACTGTTATGCAAAGCCACAGTTTTATGTCAAGGACGAATTCGGTTGTTCCGATTTTAAAGTTCAATCCTCTGGGATCCGACAAGGTTGCCCACTGTCACCTTTCCTATTTGTATTAGTCATGACCTGCATCGACATTGACATTCAACAAAGTATTTCCGCTTATGTGACAAATAATCGAATCCCAGGGGTTAATTTTGACATGATCTATTATGCAGATGACACTGTACTTTTCTCACGGAACAACCGAGCATTAAACGAATTGCTGAAATTGACAGAGAAAATCTCCAGTGGATACGGACTTGGTCTCAATAAAAAACAAATGTGTTGCTATCACTATGAACAACGACGGTTGTATTCATTTTCATGACGGGACCCCTTTGAACAAAGAATTTGAGGCCATGTATCTTGGAAATGAGATAAACAGGACAGTAAATATAAAACATGAAATCCTCAATAAAATGTCAGAGGTCAGAAGGACCTGGTTCAAGCTCAGCGCCTATTGGAAAGCTTCTGGAGCCAGCAAAAAGTGGAAGCTAATCATTTTTGATGCCATAATCCGGAGCAAGCTTTTATATGGGTTGGAAACTATACATTTAACCCAGGCGCTAAGCAAATCACTAGATGCTTTCCAATTAAGAAGCTTGAGAAAGATTCTCAAAAGACCGCCTACTTTCATAGATCGGTCATGTACGAATCAAAAGATTCTTGAGGAAGCAACTGCCATTGCCTTCCCAACTCGGGGCGATAACAGACAAATTATACGTTTCAGTGATTACCATATGAACAGAAGATGTAAATTACTTGGGCATATAATTAGAAGCAGTAATGATGACCCCATGAGACAAGTATCATTCGTTGATAGCACTGCATCCAGAGTTGATTACGGCACCAAACGAGTTGGGAAACCGAGGCAAAACTGGCTGCATATCACAAAGAAATTTGCATACGAAAACGTTTTGAGACATCATAATTTCGATGAAAACACCGATGATGCAAGAATATATGCAGCCGCATTGAACAGAGATTTTTAATTGCCGTTCTTTGGCTGTGCCAACGCCTTGCAATAAGCCCGTCCGGACCAGGTCGGCGCGAGGTATGGCTGGAAAAAAACCATGCGTGCCAATTTAGTGTGAGCCGTTCTTTGAGTGATCAGAGCCGATACTTGTAACATTGTACTAAATAAGCATCGGAGAGATGGGCACCGCAAGCCTAATTAAGGTAAGCATCACCTGACTAAGCTGTCAGTTGTTAGTTGTGGAGGATCTTGCTCAACCAGCCTAGTGGCATTGCTTTGGAGACCATCGTGGAGTGCAAGAGTGCCGACGGACGTCGAAGGACCTCGCCAACCACAGAGACCAGTGGAACCCTCCACATCCCATCAGAGGCCTGCCTACCTCTACACAGACCGACAACATGCGGCTTGATTGATGCATCATCTCCTTCACAAGCCACCCGTGTTTAGAGTGATCTTCTAAAGTATTGCGCGTCATCTGCAGTCGGTTACTAAGTACTCTGCAGTTTGATCATGACCTGACACCCGGGTGAGCCAGGATCGCAGAAGTTCTGGATTCCGTGCTGATGGCCTTGTAGCTTGTGGCCGCGCAATCCCATGTTAATGCGGGCCAACAGATTGTAGAGCTTTAGCTTTGCTGTGTGCAGAGCTGTGATGCCGAAGTTTAGTTGAAACAGCTCGCGAGGCTTTGGAAAAAGTCCGCTTGTTGTGTTGCAAGGGCTGAGGAGAAGGAGCCTGTCATAGCCTGTCAATGCTGGGGCGATCTCCTTTTCATTGCCGCCTGGGCAACCTGATTGAGTGCCCAGCAGCTGTTAAGTGTCACTAGTTTGCATGCTTTCGCTACTGAAGCGCTTGGAGCTGATCAATGTTGTCACGGGTCACTCTTGCCGATGTGGGACAACAACCCCAGTGCATTGTGCATCCTCATTGTTCATTGTGGTTTAGTGGGTGTCCAGTTGCATGGGGGATTGCTCTGAAAGACGGTTGTAAAATTGCCCCGACCAACTAATAACCGTGACTGCCAACTGCATAGCTGAAAGGCTCAAGAGTGGTTCGAGACCACTGCCGGATGTCAAGCAGAGCGGCTCCCAGGCATGGCAGATCTACAGCCGGACGTAGTGAGGTTTTCTGGTGTGCATTTTGAACAGACACTTTGTTCCTCTGTCCGGCGAAAGGCATGGAATGGGAACCAAGCCGATGTTGCAATGGCAACCTTGCAGCAGTTCCCTCTGTTGGTTCATGGTGCCAGGCCCAAGATGATTGACGCGTATCCTGGCTACTATTCTCCGAACGTTCCTCGGAAGAATTTCCAGACCGGGGTAGGGGTTAGGGGTTTGCAGCCGTCTGCAGTGCTAGTCAGGTATGGCTTGTGAATATCCAAGGTCGTTTGTGTGTGACGTGTTACTATCTGTGCCGATTGGGCTCCCATGTTCCCACCTCCCATGACTGGGAGCAACTTGAGGAGTCTATTGAGTACTCCTCACATCGTGGCGGCATTTTTTCTGCGCCCTGGCAGAGGGACTGCTAGGTCGGTCTGGCCTAAAGTGACCAGGTGTGAAGCAGACATTGCTTGATCGGCTTTACTTTCCCAGTCTGATTCTTTCGATGTTTGTCACGATTTTGAACAAATTGAGCGTCTCCCGAACATCACTCCTAGTGGGCATGCAGCGGCATGCCAGACGTTAAGTTTGGTTGCAAGAGAAGTGCAGGGAAGGAGTGAAACCTGGGAAGCATGTCGGAAACATGGTTCCCCCTCTCCGGTGATTCCAAGTGCAATTTTCTGTGGTACTGTGGTGTTTGAAGGCCATCGTCAACTGCTTTGTGGAACCATCATTATTGCCTTTGGTAGTCACTAAGATGTTCGAAGCTCGAGGAACTGCCGTGCTGAGGATTTCATACGAGCGTCCATGAATGACTGCAAGATCCTTTGCTTTGAGATCCGGAGGCGCATGCAGATTGCAATGCAATGCAGCATTCCCTTGACAGGTCACGGCTTGAGGGGTTTACGGCTTGGGGGTACCAAACAGGTTGGGGCGATTTGGGAGTCGAATCGCTCGAATTACTTGACGTCACTTGTCTGCTTTGTCCAGATATTTGCACGTCTGCTTTGACCGGGACTTCTTGGCGTCGGCTGCCAGCCGCAGAGATCTGTGGCGCATGCTTTTGTCCGGGCCTGAATGTGAACAGTGTGGAACAGTGTGGTCCCTTTTTTCACTTCATAATCCTTCCAGGGAGTGTAGTCCTGAGGATATTTGTGGAGCGATTCTATGCCCTATATCCTTCCAAGCCCTTCCCGTCTCGTTGTGGTTTTAGGCAATTCGTAAACGTGGATCGAGGCCTCTACCCGGCATCATGGCGTTGGTTGCAGACAGCGGCAATCACGAGCTCATGCTTATGGATGTCTGGGGCTCGTGCAGCAAATTCAGCAAGCCCTGAACTCTGAGAGTTGGTTGAGCTTGAATGTCAGTTCAAAGCAGGGATTGAGGCTGATGCAGATGTAGTGTGCGAACTACATTCTTAGAGGGAGCAAGTCCTGGCTGAACTCTTGCGATGCAGTTGCGGAGAAGGTTCCTGATTAGAATGCGAGCAGTGACAAGACTGCCCTCCAGATGGAGGTCTATTACACTCATATAGTTTTAGCAGCAATGGCCTCCAACCTCCAACCTAGTAGCGATGGCCTCCAACCTAATTGTGATGGCCTCCAACCTAGCAGCGGCACACACACACGCACACACACACACACACATATATATATATACACAACAATCTAAATACATGTGTTGGACTCTCTGTGGCGGCCCGCACTTGGCTCGGACTGGACGTAAAGAAAATGACTGGCACGTGGTTGCTCCTCAAGAAAAAGACCCCGGGTTCTTCTGCAAGGAGGTTTGGACTTGGCAGAGATGCTTTCAAGTTTAGACTTGCAATGTAGTCAACAAGGCTCAAGGCTGGTGAACCATCAATCTCCTCAATCTTCTATACTACTTGTGTTGATCACGATGCCCATCCAATTGACTACCTCATGTCACCTATCACGTCGGAAAGGCTACTTTGCCTGGGGCGGGCATGCGGACTCCTGTGACCATGGGTTCGGGCGGCATGAAAGCCAAAGAACTATCGCTGTCGAAGCCGGAGATGCAGATGTTTCTGGGATTTCAGTGCGGTCGAGTTGTCCAAATGAAATTGCAATCACGCATGTAGCTACTATGGCTGAAAGAAACAGGTGGCTACAGCAGTGGCAGCTTTGTTTGATATTGTTGTTCATGCGTTCATGCCACTTATCACAGGTTTGTACAACAACGATGGAACCTGAACTTTTGCGGACGTCGTTTGCAACCGACCAAGTGTGCGCAATTTTTCTACACGAGGAGTGTGCTCATAGTATGGTACTTGTAGGCTGCTGACTGTGGGATCCCTGCGGGCTTAAGGATTATTTGGACGATTCAGGACTGGACCGAGCTACAAGCAGGAATACAAAGGAAGCATTTAGAAGGAAAAGGAAAGGAAGAAAGGCAGAAAGAAAGACACAATAGCTTGGAGGTCTAAACGTCAAAATTTCAGACCGCCAAATGAATCATGTGAAGTAAAGGACCATTCGCCTTTCTTCGCCTTTCTTCCCCTTTCCGCGTCCGACTGGCAGCTTTTATATACTGTACTTTAACTTAATCAAGTAAGGGCAGTGCAAGCAGGATAGCTCACGCTTCAAGGAAGCTCCCCCGCCTGAGGGCGGAGGAGAGCTTCCTTGCAGAAGGGCTTGCACCATTGATTTAGTTCCCAGATTCATATCTTAAAAGCGTTAACCTCTAGTTTCTTACATTTTCTTACCCTCCTCGCCCCCCTGGCCCATAGCAAGTGAGAGAAGAGATGGAGAGAGAGAGAGAGAGAGAGCAAACCTAGTAGCAAGAGCCCCTGAGATACCTTAAGAGATTTTAGTAGTTGATCCCTCACTGCTGGGAAGACTGCTTTCAGACAACCTTTCTTGAAAAACCTGCTCCATGAGCTGCACTGAGGCGGGAGATCATTCTCTTCTTGCTGGGTTTACCAGTGGAGACGCGTGAAACTCTGGAAGAGGCTGAGAATTACACCTTCACTATGTCGTGCCACAACCAAGTTAAAGGTTTCAGCTTGTTGCCAATTTCTCTTGGCTATCGATTGGAAGTATTGGAACATATGCCCAGCTTAGTCAGCTTCCGATCAAAATCAGCCATTGTGAGGCGCATCAATCCTACGGAGCTCTGCTCCCATGTCCCTGCATTGTATTATAGCCCGTAGCTTCTGAATTTACATGATTGTAACCAGGCTACTTTAGGCTGCTTACGGGCAACCTACCCCGACTCCCCAAAACAAGATTGAAAAAATTGTCTTATTTGGTGAGCACCACGACCCGAAAGAGAGCCTAGGCACAGAGCGCCGCCATGGAGCCCGGAAAGCCATTTGGAGTCGAAGTTGGTGACCTTCGAGGGTGACACAGTGTCCTGCGCTCGATTGCTGGCAAGTTGCTCGGCCATAGCGGCTGTTTCAACATAACCCGCCCTCGTAGGTTGACTGACTGAGAAGCGGTGCGAGAAGGCCCCAATTGGCCCAAGCTATATACATATCAATATATGTATATATATATATATATCTACATACACTAAACGCATCTCAATTCAGCAAGCCAGGGAGCAGTGAGAGACAGATAGACAACGCCTGCTTTTCTGTGGGTCAGTTAGATCAGTTAGTGTGTCTTTTGTTGGGAATCTTCTATGTGTCTCCGGTTTGTCAATGTGCATTTGTTTTTAAGGGTTTGAGCTGTGCTAGAGTTGTGTTCAAACTCAGATTCGGGCCTTCGCGTGGCCATGCTGAATTTTGCCCACGGCTACAACTGCGGCGGCGGTCGGGGCACCTGTTCTGTGCAGTTGATAGTAACGGCTAGGCCCAATATCACCATCAGGTATATGATTAGCAACTTGCTGCCATGGATAGCACCCCGAACCCTGGGGAACAGCCTTTGGTCAGGTACTTATGCTATCCATGAGACCTTACTAGTTACTAGAGCAAAGTCTTCAGTAGAGTTCTTTTCGTCTATCTTATTTTCTTTCTTGTTTGTGACTTGAGATGGTTATTTCTTTCTTTCTTTCTGTTCTTTGTCTTCTCTTGCAAAAGCAAGTTCTAGCAAGAGGACAACTGACAACCAACATGTTTGCTGTGACGATGCGCAGAGGCTTCGAGCATGCAGGTGGGAGCCAAGAGGAGGCCATCTTCAGAGCCACTTCTGTAGCTCAGCTAGGGCAGCTAGGGCCATGACATAGTTAAGTGATGCATTCATATTTTCTTGTCCATGTTTAGTGAAGCCTTCGTCGCTGGGGCAACGTATGCTTCTCAGAATCACATTGAGTCAAATGTTGGGTGAACATGCACGAACATGCTTCAGTTCATGTTGCACGAACTGTGCTTCAGTTGGTGCTTCTTTGCCTCTGGTGTTTTGATGTGTTTCGTGTCAGGTGTTGGGCCCCTGAACTAGCTCCCGCAGGTTGTTGAGAATCATCCCTTTTGACGAACATACACCATTCCAATGCTGATCCCTCCCCCAGGGGGAACAGTACGGAGAGTGGAGCCACCAGCAGTGCAAACCAGATAAACGCGGGATTATGTGGCTGTGCTGCCTAGGTACGAGTCTTGAATTTCCTTCCCTGAACAATCCAGCCTAAATACACCGATGTCTATAGAGCAACAAAACAGCGCAACGCGACAAAGGTGTTGGATTGCCCAAAGTTGATCCAAGGTCTTCTTAAGCCTATGGCCGCATCGACGAAAGGACCGGCAAGCAATATTGCTGAACTTTCTAAAGGCCTCCGGCGACCCATCGGCCGCCTCGCGAAACGGCAAACTATCTCACAGACCTACGCAAAAGAGACCTACACATGATCGGCTGCGTACGACCTACCCCGCTTACTACACGACCTGCTGCTCGCTCCTCACCCATGTGCTTTAACAGCGCCAGGACGACGGGCCTGGCATCTTGAAGCGTGGCCATTGGATTGGCGACTTCGACGAGCAGCTTCCTCGGAAGGAGGGACGATGAAAGGGGCGAAAAGGAAGCTGAAGTGGCACCAAAAAACCTCGGAGAAGTCACGACAAAGGGAAAGATGACAAAGAGAAAATGACACATTAAGCGAAAGTGAGGAAGAGATGCAAAAGAAAGTTAAGACAAAGCAAAGTGAGAAATGAAACAAAGCAGAGGACTCACAGTGCCTGACGGTCACTATGCGAATCTGACTGAAACGAGGACAAGAGAGTTGCTCCAGTTACTCATGCGCCAATCGCGTCAGTGCACTCCACCCAAACAGTGCGCTGATGTAAAGGCGAAGAGAACCAGACAAATAACCTGGTGGTGTTCTAAGTTTAATTCAACGTAGCCAGGGTGTGGGGTCCATCATTAAGTGGTGAAAGCCAGCAGCAGGAGCCTTTTTACGAACACACTGAATGTGGCGGAATCTATTCGCCAAATGCCACCTGCCAGCAAAGCGCTTCGTGGATCGTTGCACTTGTCTCATCGCACCCTGCCGTTAATCACTTGACACTGAGAGAGCCTAGATGCTCTTATCCATACTTGCGGTTGTTCCCAAGTGTTGCCGGAGGTGGAGACTAATCACTCGGACGGAAGGACAAAGAAGCCTTTAGGCTCAATCAGATGAACTTAGACGTGACATGCTGTGCTGCAAGATTGACAGCATTCATGGCTGCTTGCAATTTTGCATCGCCACAAAGCATTGCACTTGCAAAGAATTTGGAGCAACTGCAAAATTACAGGGGCAGCAAGTTGCACCTCACAAAGGTTTAGGTTCTTGAGCTTCTTTCTGACACTAGCCATAGTACACGCAAAATATATTAGATTAGATTGGACGCCATTTCATGTGACCCCCGACCAGGTTGAAGAGATCCGCAGTTTCAGAACTCATCAAGCTAGAATAAACTACATCAAACATTTCCATGTGTCGAACTTCGTCCAACGTTAATGCCATGAAGCCATGCCATGTCCGCTGAAATAGCGGTGGAACATGCTGACTTTGTGGAGATTGCCTTGAGGCATCCAGTATGGGCCAAAGGGGCTCAGCTTGAAGCACCTCCCACTTTGGGGTGGAAAGGAGGGCAGCCAAACCTGCAATGGCAAGCAGGAAACGATTGCAGTTTAGGAGTCAACGAAATAGTGCACAAATGCAACAAAGAAGCACATCATTTTGGGATGAAATTCAGCAACATACGAATGTAAAGTGGTAGGAAAGGCATGGAAATGCACTCGAGGTCCAGTCGCAACACATCTGTTTGATTATAGAAATGCAGCATGATAAAGTTGTTTGTCTCCTGATTGCACCTGTCAGACCGGGTCTTTGCACACGCACACACCACGTTCTTTGGGCTTTTGCTTTGGTTAATCTTTGCTCATGACTGTTATAGTCTTTGGTGTGGCCATTTTCCACTTCCAGGGATGTTGAACATAGAAACTATATATATGCTTGCTTTGCCTCCCGACCATTACATACTGCAACTGGGCAAGTCTGCAATTGTCAAATGAATGGCGTTGCATATTGGTGACTTCGGTTATGGAAAGCTCAAAGGGTGAGTTCATGAGGTCCTCGCGAAATGAATCACATGTTTCAGGTTCTTGGCTGCATTGCACAGCCGGAGCTTTCGTCCGGGTGGAGAGAATTTCGATAAACAATGGCAGTTGCAGGCTCGCTGGGCACCAGGAATGCATAAAGCCGGAGGTTACAATCGAATGGCCTGCCCGGCCGACGAAGTACACCAAACGGGTCGCATTCTTCGCAACTTGTTCTCTGGAACTTTGTATCCTATTTCTACCCTGTTGCAGATGTGTTGAAGACTGTTCGGCGCTCCTATCGATTCAGCCACCGATATAATACTAATTGTTGTCAGAAAACGCACTGAGCGAACCACTCACCAGGAGTTCACGCTGCCACGAACCTCCCAACCAGCCAACCAGGAGGCCTTGAATCGGCCTGTAGAGCATGATCAGCGACAGCGTTTGCTGTCGATTTGCTTGGGACAGCGCGATCTCTCGGTGCCTTTGAGCGCCGAGCTGAGTGAATGCTTCTTTCGCGCAGTGGGGAGGTGGGCAAAGCAGATGGGACCAACATCGGGCTCAGTCAGTAGTTGAGTTCAGGACGTTCAGATTTCCGTGCTTGTTTTACGCCTTTGAGTCACTAAACTATAACAGCATGGGTTTTCAAGAATATGGGCGACAGGACGTTCCCATTGATCACGCCCATCTGCAACATCACTTCTCCGGCCTGCGTTCCATCCTTGAGAGGCAGTTGCATCTCTTTGAGGGCTGGACTATGTTCAACCTTCAGGCTGCGCTGAAGAAGTGCTTTTGCATCTAATAGCTTCTTGTTACTACTAGTAAGGCACTTGTTACTAGAAGCGATGCACTTGTTACTACTAGCTTCTTGTTACTACTCCAAGACTTTCTGGCCCTCAGAGATGGTAGACTTCCATCAATTGATGTTTGTGTGTAAATCTGCGCACGAGATGCAAGTTTGATAGATCAAGTTAGCTGGGAGGGGGTCTGAGTTTCTTATTTCATGGCTGCCATCGGCACAAGCCTTGATAATTTTGGATCATCATAATCTGCCTCTCCAGAACCAGCAACCTATGTCAATGCTGGCTCCACTCTGGCATTTCCATCATGGCAACAGGCTTACTGTGATTCCTTTTGTGTAACAGGTAACTCAGATTCTCCGTTGCTTTTGTTCGCAGGAACTCATGCATTGGGACGGGGGGATGAGACGCTTGAAGGCGCGGCAGGGGACAAGGTCACTGTAAGAAGGACTTGTTGGATTTGGCTTATTGTGTTGGCCATCGCTTCTAGGTTCTAGGCTGGAGGCCATCGCTTCTAGGTTGGAGGCCATCGCTTCTAGGTTGGAGGCCATCGCTCTTGGGTTGGAGGCCATCGCTCGTAGGTTGGAGGCCGTCTCACAGGGGGCCATGATGACCTGTGTAGCCAGGATGGCATCACATCTTGGACAATCCCGACTTTGCGATGTCAGATGCTTCCACAGAAGATTTTCCTTCAGCCGCTACTTTTGGCCAAGAAGTGGGGGCTGCATTTTCAACACAGCCTTGCCAAAGTGCCAGGCTCGATCTCATATTTCACATGTCCCCCTTCCTCATTACTTGTATTCTAGTGGATCAACTATTCTCCAGCTGCCTTTGGCTCTTGAAGGTGGTCTCCTTTTGCATTGTGCTCAGTGTTCTTCAGAAAGCCCGAAGGTTCCATGTGGGGCTTGATCTTGGCCTACCTAACGCCACCCAGAATCAGCTGGTTCGAGACAGTGCAACAGCGGCAAAACCATCCGTGGTGGGATTGGCCTCGGCATCCCTTGGTCTTTCCGATGCTCACCCCTTCGTCTCCACCTTTGCTGGCGAGCTCGGTGGTTGGCATCAGTATCTTTCAAGGCGAAGGATCTGCGGAAGATTGCACCTTGGCTCGAAGAGGTGCACGTCCAAGAGGAAAGGAAGTGATGACTGGCATGGATGTCCAAAGCATATTGCGACGGTACCCTGCACGCATTCGATGAAGCCAGACCTGGCTTTGCAGCAGCGTTGGCATGAAAGCACTCGCTGCTTTAAGTGGTTTGTGGCACAAGCCTTGCACTCACAACTTACAACTCTATTACATTCTATTGGGGTTTTTGTACTATTAACGTTCAGTGAGGTTCAAGATGGTTCAACTTGGGAACTCTGCAGGCTTTCGACCACTTTCAGCCCAAGGGCCGCAGTCACGCCAATTCAGTCGTTCAGCCCCAACCAGCCCAACAGGCATTTTCGTTCTGAACAGCCAATGAAGCAGAGCATTTATCTGTTATCTCAAATAAACGGGGACATGCTGGATGGAAAGCAAGGCCAACTTTGAAAGGGACCTTACCTTCCTTCGTCATCTCTTTTCTCTTTACTTTTTTGAAGTCTCTGCACTCTTGCTTGCTCGCGTCCACTTGATCACCAGTCTCGAGCCAAGGCATGCATCGAGCGCAGTTGGTGTCCTTGAATTTGCTTCTTGGCTCTTTGTGAGGCGTCGTTTGATTTCGCCGATCCAAATCTAGCCCATGGTGGACAATCAGGCATCTATCATCATCTATCTAAACAATTATTTAATTATTGGGTGTCATTAGGGCGTGGAAAATCTTAGATGTCCCAAAGATGTGAAGAAGTTTTACAGAAACACTCAGGAACAAATCGGCCCCGAGAAGTGGACATGCTGGATAGATGAGACCAGCAACAAAGCCAGTGAATAACCCACTTGCTGAACGAAAGCAGGGCCAGATCCAGTCAAGCTTGACCAAAGCTTGCCATCGGGGGTCGTTTTCGTGTGCCTTGAGGAACGACGTGAAGTTTGTGAAAAGCACGGCCACAAGAGCACTTTTGTGGGAAAGACTATTGATGATTGCAGGCCGCAGACGTCAGGACACAGCCTTGCTTTGAACAACTGCTTTTCTTAGCACAACATGCTTGGTGTGGGTCACAAGCCATGTAAAAGTAGTCCGAGAGCGCATTCGTGGGTCAAAACCGGGCGACCTTGGACCGTAGAATGAACAGAATGGGCTACTAGTGAGGTCAACCTACCAGGGTTTAGGGCTCAGCATGGGTCGCTTAGCTGCTCAGCAATGACTTGTGTCTTCACCATGGTGCGGCCCATCAAGGCCGTACGTCATAGCGGTCTTTCATTGGCCCACTTCACCTCACATCAACCATATATCAGCTTGGCTGCCCAGCAAGCAACTTGATAGGCTCCTGTTAATACTTATCCTCCTCGAAGCCAAACCTTGTGAAAAGGGGAATGGTCATGAGCTTTGCCTCCCTGTTCAGGACAGGGGAGATTCAGTGCCAGACATTGACTTCTACGACGCTTTGCTACTTCGTTCTGCGATTGATGCGTCACTAATGTTTGGATGGAGATAGGCAGACCAGTTGGACAAGTGCATGCCGGTAAGGACAATTTCGCTGTGACACTTGCAGGTTCAAACTTCAACTTTTACACAGCATGATTTAAGGTTGGTGGTTTGGTTGCCAAACGGTGTTGTTGTGCCAGATTAAATGATTTTGATCATGCAAACAAATGCAAACTCTATCAAACTTTCATGAAAATACCCTTGACTGGAGCATACAATACAAGACAATACATCACACCACAAACAGACATCGGCGTCCTGTGGCCAAACAGCCGAGCAGAAACCGCCTGACGGGACTGTTCAAACAGCACACATGTTTAGTCCGAGCCCATCAAACAAAAGAAATGATATATATATATATAATAGCGATGGCCTCCACACTAGAAGCAATAGCCTCCAAACTAGAAGCAATAGCCTCCAAACTAGAAGGGCGATGGCC